CCTTCCAACCTCTATGATTCTATGATCTCTTACGTTTAAAAACTTCATTTGTAGTCTCTTCCCTTCCATTCAGTTAAACCACCCATCAGTGAAATTCCACGTATGAAGTTGTGCTTAAAATCTAAAACATAACATTTACATAGCTGCTGTAGGGCAGCAGTTACTAACAAGTTAAAATGGCAAAGCTCACACAATAAACTTTTACATTTTGTGAAATAAAACACAGTTCAAATAAACAACAACAAAAATAATTTAATAAAACTTATTAGCTGATTTCCAAGGGAAACTATTTTAGTGGTACTCTGCACTCTTCTGGAACTTAGCGAATACGATCAGCACTGTGCTCCTGGATGTTTACACTGGGCAAGTAATTGCAAACACTTGATCTCCATACGCTTGTCATTCCCTAGTGTCACTCAATGTAAAAAGGAAAAACAAGCATAGTGGATTACGTTTTAATACACATGTAGTATACATGCCATCAACTGCACTCTGTGCTATAGACAGCAGAAGAAACTAGAATGCAATGGCATGGATAAATTGCTGCCAGTTCTTACTTGTCACCACTCCCAAGTATAATTTTGTGTAAGAAGCAGAACATCCCAGGCCTTCCCCCCCCAACTTACCAACTTAGCTATAATGAGTGCATCATTCATTAAGTCCAAGAGGGGGGTCTCTGTATGAATATTGTAAAAGGAATAGGCAGCTTTGAGACTTTTATGAACAGGATGGTGCATGACTGTTGAAGGTAACGTGTAAAAACTCAGGAAGTCTGTTAAAATACCACTTGAGCCCTACAAAATAAAAAAAGTAAATTAAAAAAAATACTTGAAAAACTTTTTGCTGATATGAATTTTTCTAGGTGGCATTCACATACACATTCATGAAGTAGTTCGGGAATGATTTACCTCTACTACATAAGTATCAATAATATGATCCCGAGGCAGGAACCAGTGGGCTACCTCTTCTTCTTCCATCACAGGAGCAAGATTAAACTGTTTCAAGTAAGTATTGATTAATTCTTGTACTGCTTTAGTATCTCTTTGTTCCATTGGTCTCAAGCCTGAAGTCTTTGTGGCCTTATTGTAAAAAACACCTCACCCTATTTTTGAAAAAAAAAAAAAAAAAAGAAATGTTAGGATGTTGAAAGGAAAACTGCACACACAGCAAAGGTTGAAAGTAGGTTGCAGAGTCAGTCCACTTGCTCTAATGCATTCATTATTAGCCTACTTTATCCCAGCCACCTAATTCATTATGCTATTTTACAAATGGCTTTCAATCAGAACTCCCTTTCTTCTAATTACTGAGATAGTTGAGGGCACTTCAATCTTTATATTTCATTACTGGAACAACTTATTTTCCCCAGAATTTTTATTTGACAGTTTAACTTTTGAAAGTATCAACTTCTAAATCACATATCTTCAAAGCTAATCTTAATTTTTTTTTTTTTTTTTTTTAGGTCAGTCTTTACTTACCTTCTTCTAAACTGCCCAGACACAGAAACAAAACATAAAGCAACTTGCATATCAGAAGTTAACCCAAAGACATTAATGCTTGTGATTCAAACTTATTAAAATTACAGTTCAGCTATAAACTTGGCTATAAAAAGTCAGCTGATAAAGTATAATTAGAAATTATTCAATAAAAAATTTCACCTACTCTTAACACTTGCAAACTTCCCTGCTAACTCAAGTTTCTATACAGGCACAACTGGTGTTCTGTTAAGAAGAAAGCTTCTCATGACTTACAGCTGCCTGAAATTAAAAACCTACAGTATTTTAACAAATAGCTATTTATTTGAATTTGAACCTCAGAAGAGGAAAAAAAAATGCTGTCCAGTACTATGTAACTAATATCTAAACAAGCAAAGATGATTTAAGTTTTCTCCTCAGCTTTCACCTTTTCTAAATGTTTCCTTTTAGTGAGGTTAAGGCTTGTTCTCTTCAGAGCTTATTTATCCTGCTTCATCTGTGAGCTACATACTTGGGCACATATCACATTAATCACAGCAAAGTCAACTGTCATAGACTTGATTACTGAAGGCCTGGAGCTGGTGCCTCTGATACCGCTCTGCCCAAATGGTGTTATTCTGGGGTGGGTCTTTATTCGCACACTCTGGGAGTCAGCAGCCAGAAGGAAAAATCGAGGCACATTTTGGCACAGCTCTGACCTGTCTGTAACAGTTCTGTTTTCCTGCTCTCCTGAGCAGCCTGGGACTATGGTCTGCCTCCACAACAGCAGGTCATCAGGTTTGTAAATGACCTGAATCCATAAGGGCATTCACCTGATTCATTAACATGACACTTCCTATGCCCCATTTCATTCATAACCTCCTTATGAACTACAATATGAAAGGTTAATTTTGGCTCCCTTCAAAACTTTGTCCCTTTTCTGAAGCCAAACACTGGACTAGGATAGGAGGAAAAGCAGTTGGGCTGGAAACATCTTTATCCCACAGCAATGCTCAGAATGGCCCAGAAATGAGGGAAGTGATGCAGAACTGGGCTAAAATTTGTTTCTTTGCTCCACATACCAAGCTGCACTGGGCAATATCCATGCAAGTGCCCTGGCTCAGGATCTCAATCAGTCAGGAAAAGACATATGCACACAAACACGCTTCTGTCCTTATTTTAAACAGCCAAAATTTATGTTTTTTCAGGAAACTCTTTGCTCAAGAGATTAAACACACAAAAAGATAAAGGTTTCTTTTCCTCAATCTATAGGTACATGCACAAACGAGCCTTCAGTGAGGGTGGTATTTATTAATTACAGTATTTATTAATTCTGAAAACCTTTTTTAATTCAGACTGTTCAAGTGATTACAAATTATTAATTCCTCTTCAAGGGAGATGAGCTCCCAGAGGCAATGTTATTCCAAGGACAGTAAAAAAGATTAAAATACAAGAAACAGTGTTTGGTGCTGAGGGACAGAACAGTGTGGCCCATGTGAACAAATCTGTGTGACAGTAGTTTATGATAAAAGCTTGAAACTGAGGATAAAGATCCTCAACAGCACTTAAACCCTTTCTTAGGAAAAAAAAAAAAAAATCAAAAAAAACCCCAAAGCACCAAACCTAAAGAGAAAATATTAGCACAAAAGTTCCGTTTTTATTTTCCATGGAAGAAGCTCCCAAGTCCAATTTAAAAATAGATAAGCAGCTGAGGATTATGGACTCCTACATTACTTAGTTTTAAAAGTTGATTTTCAAAGCACCTGTTTTCTATTTGCACATCTCTGGACAGTACGTTTGCCTTAAGCCACATTTTATGAATGAGATATGATGTATTCTTTGTTTTCCATAATCTACTCTTCTGTTGAAATCTGGGGTTTATGATAAAGGAAGATGATCAAGGTATAACTGCTGTCATTTCTGGTGATTCTCTGTAGTTACACTTTGTACTGTAACTAAGACCCTTATTCTTTAAACTATTCTTTTCCTGCATTGTTACCATGAGAGACAGCACTAGAGTTGCCACCAAAACCTGTATTTGAAATTGTCTACTGCATGTTTTTTAGACTATTAAAAATGTCTTCAGGATTTGATGGAAGCTATATTTAGCTCTCCAAGATTAAAACCTAATTAATTTGGTTATTAATTCTTAAGCTCAGAGAACTGCTGCCCTGCACAGAAGGGAGAACATGCAGCACAGGCAGCACGACAGGAAACGGAGCGCAGATAAAGCCATGGCACGTGCTTTATACTGAGGAGAGCCTAGAGTATTGCTCAAATATATAAGAAGTAAGAGAACCTGCAGCATCAAGGTAAATATAACCCACAGGCGCAACTCTCCAAAATCAAGTAAATCATTACAAAGTACTACAAGTGAGGAAAAAAGATTTACTCTTTTTTTTTTAACCAACTGGGAGGGTTTGTTTAAATAAAAAAAGACCTGCTGATATGGTACATGAAAAGGATATAGTGCAATCCCTCTAAATAGAAAAGCAGCTTTTACACGCAAAGAAACTATTTTCAATCAGATACTTCAGAGTAGCTTATATAGCCTATTAATTACAGCAATGAGATTTTTTAAAATAGTACAACTCAGACTGCTTACAGTGATTTGTCCTGTCACGGAAATGCATTCTAAGGCTTTTTGCCAGCCTATCAGCTGCAAACATGAGAAAGTGTTAACCAACCTATCTATGCCAGAACATCTTTTTTTTTGTTGTGATTGCTAGACCATGCAAATAAACAGTAGCACAACATACTGAGGTGGCTTTTGCTCAGCCTGCTCATGGCAGAAGAACAATATTCTCTGACAGAACAGAAAAAGATGTGAATTACAGCAGAAGCAATAACACCACTGTACTCAGCTTTCTGATGGACTTCTCTGAGAATTTAAAGACATGACCTGTTAACTTTCTGTTCCAGTTATCTTGTATGGGATTAATCATACCGAGAATAGTCTTCTGCATCTTCAACTCAATCCCATGTTTATGAAGTCAAGGCTGCTGGTTTTTTCTTTCTTTGTTTAAGGCTTTTAGGTCAAAATTTGCATTTTCTCCACATACAGATCTACATTTCCAGCAACAGTCTCTTCTGTTTAGTATAGCCCTTAAGGTGTTTTTCATCAGCCAGTGATTTTTTTTTTTTTTAATGTCCTGCACGCACTGCCTTTCCGCAGAAAAGCCTGTGCTGTCAGAGACAGATGGAAGGTTATTTTGGGCCTCAAAATAACTGTGGGGATTCTCTAGAAATTATACTGCTTACATCAGGAAGTCTGTAGAGCTTCATTGTTCTTTGTAGAGTCATGTTTCTACTCAAATGTGAAAATTTAACCTCCACCAATTTTCTGGGATTCAGTGATCTATGCCAATACCTGTAAATAAAATTAATAATGAGATTAAATAATAATATTTTAAGTGTCAGCTTTACTTGCATCTATTTCCCTATTTTCTCATGTTGCTCCTTCTCTCCAAATTTGTTTGTAAGTCTGTACTATGTCTGTAAGAAGCTTGAGCAATAGAATAGAAGGAAAAGCTATATCCAAGTAATAGCTTTATCCTGCTATCACCATATGTTGAATCTAAGCAAGATTCTTTTTATTACAGAATCAGTGCTCACAGGGCTAAATATTTGAGTACTTGCCAACAGCCCTGACAATGTCACCATATTTACATGGTAACATTTATTTTCTTATACAGACAGGACCCTCTGCTCATGTCTAAGCTGTTTGTTGAAGGAGATGTCCTCTTCCTACTTTTCCTACTTACTTTAACACAGCATAGCTTTTTTTTTTTTCTTGCCATCCTTCCTTACAAAAACTTAAGAGGATCTTTTGTGGTGATAGGTACAAACACAGTTTCAAATCAAAAAGAACCCTGTCTTCCAGAAGAATAGACAGCTGAATACTGATGGAATGGGACTATTCCCAGTAGAAATAAAATCCATTCCAAGCAAATGATATTGTACTTGATTATATACAACTCTTCCCATGTGATAGTTTTCCCATCTTCATCAAATGCAGATCAAGTCCTCCTTTCTCCAGGAAAGACTAAAGTGTTTAAAAATCCAAACCATACAATTCCCAGAAATGCTCTGCCATCTATGGCAAGCAACGAGGTCAACAGCAAAGTGTACCAGCAGGGAAACAGGCCACTTGAAAAACACAGGTATGCAATGCTGACATTGCTAGCAGGGCTTCCACCAGGTGGTCAACAGAAACATTTATTAGTCTGTTCAAAGTATAATAAAAAACCTCAGAATTAGATTTTAGGCTGAGAAGCTGTTTAATCCAAGGCACTGGGAGGGAAGAAAAAAACCTAAACCAACCAAAAAAAAAACCCACCCTGACAAACACTCAGGCCTTCAGGTCAGTCAAGGCCACAGCATTTAATTTCTTTGAATTTTATGCTTTTACTGTTTCTAGCCAATTACACAAAGCGGTCTTTAAAATAACTGCTATAGTAACTGATATTATTATGAACATCACCTAGGTTACCTGCAAGTGGCCACAGGTTTGGGGAGCACCACCCCAGCAGTGTAAACAGCCTGAAAAATTCCTTCCAGGTTTACTCTTCTGGTTATTTCCCGAATCAGTACAGGTGCTACCCGTTTAGATCTCAATTTCTTATGGACACACAGAAAATTGATTTCTACCATTTTCTTCACACTGAAAGGATATTAAATAATGGAAAAGTTAAAAAAAAAAAGTTGCACATTGCATATTTTCATTTGCATCATCATAGTTTTCCATGCTGTGACAGAAGAATTTGAGGTAAAAATAAATTGGCCTGTGACAAAGGACACCTGCAACAAATACTCATCTATGATACCGTGACTGCAATGGCAAATTGTGAAACATGCAAACTCTGTTTAAGGTGTTTGCAACACTCTTTTTCAGAGCTCTATCGAGATCAATTGCCTTACTTTAAGATGCAGAATGGCATCCAAGCACATGCTATGAGTTATCGGTAACACTTCATGATTAGCAGTGTATGAAGACCTGGCCAAGGAAGTCCAGCTGACTGACTATCCTTCAAATACTTCCCAGTAGGGTCAGAAAACTTATGTCATTATCTGTATCGTCCCTCAATATGAAAGATCCTTAAATATGTATTACTGATCTTCATTGTAAGGAGCCCACAAGCTTCGCTGTAGAGGGGAGAGGAGGAAAAGTGGAAAAAAAAAGAGTCTCTGCTACACACACGTGATTCTTCTGACTCTTTATAGGCAATGAGCCTCCTTCTCCCTTTTTAAGTTCTCTATGGCAATGGATACTAGTTTAAGATTTGGTTCATGGTGTTATCCTTTCACAAATAAAAAGTGGTGCATTTTACCTGTCATAAATACGAATACTTGCAGGGATGGCACTTATGAATCCTACCAGTTTTTTATTTGAAGACACTCTAACCCCACAGTGCCATTGGGGCAACCAGCCCGGAGGACGTAGTGCCCTAGAATTGAGGACAGAAATAATTACAGATCACTGCCTAAGAAGATGTAACAAAACCACTCTTCTTTGCACCCTATCCAGAGCAGAATGTGGAACTTGCTACTCACCACAGGAGAAATTCAGGTGAATAATCAAATCTAAACATATTATCATCATCTTCTACATAATTTTCATTTAACAGTGTGTATAACTCCTTCAGCTGAAAACACACACAAAATTCCAAAGATTTATCCACACACATCAATCACAATAAACTTCAGTGATTTTAGATATATAAAAAAATTGCTTTACTTACAACTTCAGCATTGCTAAGATCCAATGTGTCCCACATAAAACCCTGTGGCAAAGAATATGGCTCTAGGCGGACATTGTCCTTATCTGGTTCAATTGCACCATGTGAAGTTATAACTTCATCTTTTCAGAGCACAGCAGGAAAAAGAAAAACAAAACAAAAAAAACAAACCAGTTACATGCTAGCTTTCCTTAGAGTTTTCCAAACTGCATTTAACTCACATCACATATTTTCTCAGAATTATGTGATAGAAACATGAAGCTTTTAAAAAATTATGAAAAAATATTAGTATTATTAGCTTATACTACTCCTCATTCTCTAAAGACTATGATCTCAGACTAATGACTATGTCATCAGGGTATCTACAGATATGCACAGAAGTACTCTACCTCAGCTGATACCTAGCGTTACATAGCACAGCACAGCAGTTTATCAGCGCTATCCACAGCGTTTAGATAGCCACAAGATCCACAGTATTATCATCAGAAATGTGTTGTACTCACACCTAACAAGCTATGGCTTGAATTCTGTTTACCACTAACTTGAATGGACCTGAACTCAACAGGATTACTCAGGAGTAAGTGGTGTGGCAAGGCCAGGGCATTTAAGGGATGCTGGTGAAATGTAAAACTCATTGCTGAAGTCCTGCATGAAAGCATGCTTTCCCCTCCCTTCATTTACAACTCTGGTCCCCAGCATATAGCTACAAGCAGAAGCTGTTCCCCTTCTATGCAGCAGCATCTGCCAAACCATAGAATCAGAGAATCATTTATTTTGGAAAAGACCCTCAAGTTCATTCAAGTCCAAACCATTAACACAGCACAGCCAAGTCCACCACTTAAATCATGTCCCTCAGCAGCACACCTAAATGTCTTTTAAACACGTCCAGGGATGGTGACTCCACCCCTAAGAAACGAGGGAGAACGGAAGCAGGTCCCTGCTCAGCGAGGTGGGTGAACCCCCTACCGACCGACCTCCCCTTCCCGGCTGCCTCTGCACTACAGGTATGAGGCTCTGGGAACTGAGGAACAAACAAATGACAGTGGAGATGAAGGTTCATCAGGTAAGTCACCCAATTTAAGTAGGTCTCCCTCATGCATTGGGACTGGCTCTAATAAGAAAAAAAAAAAGGAGGGTAATTGTACTTGGTGACTCCCTTCTGAGAGGAACTGAGGGCCCCACATGCCAGCCAGATCCACTCCATAGGGGAGTCTGCTGCCTCCCTGGGGCCAGGGTCAGGAATATTGCTAGGAAACTGTCGTCTAGTATGGCCATTGAACTACTACCCCCTGCTGGCTATCCAGCTTGGTAACGACGAGGTTACAACCAGAAACCTGAAAAAAAGACTTCAAGGCCCTGGGGAGATGGCTTGAAGGGTCAGGGGCCCAGGTGGTGTTCTCCTCAATCCCCTCAGTGCCAGGGAAGAATACTGAAGGAGGAAGGAAGACCCACCTGATTAACATGTGGCCAAGAGGCTGCTGCCACTGACAGAACTTTGGGTTCTACAAACATAGGGAGCTTCATGATGCCTGGGGGCTGTGGGTGACAGATGGAGTTCATCTGTCTCAGAAGGGGAAGAATCATTGCGTTTGAGTTTGCTTGGGAGAACAGACCCCCACTCACTCCAACCTCCTCTCAGGCAGTTGTAGAAAGCAATAAAGTCTCCTCTCTCAGCTGGTCCCTGTAAGACTTGTGCTCTAGGCCCTTCACCGGCTTAGTTGGCCTGGAACTGCTGCACAGACACCTGAACTAGTTCTGAAAAGCCTTTGTTATGACCAGAGTATTTTTTGATTTATGCCTCAACTAATTTCAGCTGCGCTCTTCTTCCACCTAGGCAGGATTACTATGATTAGTTTACAGTATCTGTATTAGTATCTGAATAGAGTTTGTATGGAGAAGAGCCAGGGCAGGTCAGTCCAACCCAGTGGAAAACACTGCATCCAGGGACTCTGCTCTGGACATCTCTATGCAAGGAAGTCAGGGAGAAATGAGGTCACTGTGGATTAGGCTACAGAAATGGATTCATGTGAAATGCTGCCCTGTGAAGAGGGACAGACCAGAGTGCTCCCGTGGTTTAGACTCTACCTTATTTCTGCTTATTCTATGCCAGTCCACAGTACTAGGGAGAGAAACCTACAGATCAATGACAGCTATTGCACTGAGACTACTTTACTTGGGGAGTTACCACATTTTGCTGGCACTGAAGAGCTATAACTGCTTAACTTTAAGATAATGAAGGGGGAAGAAGGTTCAGAAAGCCATTCAGAAAAAGCGAGAGTAAGTAACTATCTTCTACAGTGAAGATTAAGGTTTACCAACTGTGTTACCAGAGATCAGAACAGTATAAAAAGTAATTTGCCAAATTCCTTACAAAATTAAAGGCAAGGAGAGGTCACCTCACCATCTCTCTTCATACCAAGAACAGAGAACAAATTTTGAGAGTATGTCTTCAAGGCAGAGTACCTTGTGGAGGAAGCACATGAACACACAGCAGTAAAAGTGCTCACACTTGAAAGAAGCACCATTATCCACTTCAAGTTCCATGAAAACAGTGCTACAGCAGGAGAGTCATTACCTCTTTGATAACAAATTATCTATTGATAGAAAATTAAGGGAAAAATAAATAAAATCAAAATTCACTCTTTGTCACCACTTATTTTCCCTGAAGTGGAAAAGACCTCTACATTCTGTTGCTCAAGAGATCAGGCCTAAAATATACAAAGGAATGCTATTTCAATAGCATTTCCCATTTTTATGCAGAACATCACAATGAGATTTTACTAACACCATGTTTTGCTACATCTCATTTGGGGCAGGTGGAAAGGGACAAGCACTTTCCTAGAGAAATGAAAAATTCTACATAAACTACACAAGAGATTAAGGAACCCTACTCCATACAGTCCAACTTCATACCTGTTATCCTGGTCTGAGGTAGAACAGAACTAATTCTGTTCAATGATTTAACTTTTCAGCTAAGCCTATTCTAACTAATCACACTTTCTGAAGTTAGCAGCAGATGTTTACAGACAGCAGCTGCTTCTAGCAGTGATAACGCTCCATGTTTAGAGTTACTACCAAGGATTGGTGTGCAGAAAGGCTTTTGCCTACAGTTGCTTCCACAGAAACCAAAGCCTCTGGTAAATCTTGTGTGCCATGTTGGGGGTGAAGAAAGTAAAAGGTCACACCTGCGGGGCGGAGTGGACAGGGCTGGTGACCTTAAACTGACCAGTGGGGTATTCCATTCTATACATGTCATATTCAGTATAAAGCTGAGGGATCACAAGGGTTAAGCTCTCTTCTTCAATGGCTGGGATACTTTGTCAGTTCTTCGGCCTTCAATCCCAATCCAAGTGTTCCTGAACCCAGCTCTGGAATCAGCTCCTGAATCCAGTTCCTGTCTGCAGCTGAGTCCAGTATGGGACCTCCCCAGTGCCTGCCCACATCACCAGTGGTGATGGTGACATCAGGGGGTTGGGTTCAATACTGGCTTTGTATGTATTTGTATAAATTTCATTTTATTGGTTTTGTTTCATTAAAACTCGTTTAGGGATTTTTTCCAATCTGTAAGTCTGTCTCTTATTCCCACTCTCTTCCCCTTTGGGAAGGGAGAAGGGACAACAGAGCATCTGTCATTTGTCTAGAGGCCAGCCCAGCCCTAGCCCTTGACACCAGTTTATAGAGACCATGCCACACAGCTGGCACACAATCTTTTAGTGGCCAGGAAGACAGATCTTATGCACAGGTCAAGCTAAACTTACTGAGTTTAGGTACAGGTTGCGTATCCCAAAACTGGTATTTACGTTTGGTAGCCTCATCAATATTCTTCGCTGGGCCTTGGCATGCAGAGAGCAGCTCCATTGCTCTCTGGATGTCTTGAAGCTTCTGCATTGGAATGGCTGGATTCTGCACACAGACAAACAGAAGAGAAAGCTTACTGTCTAGGTTTACTGTGAACAATTTGTACAAACATTCATTTATTTTACTGTTACGTGTTCTTTCACATACACTTCTTATCATGGTTAGTTTAGGTATAACCTTCAAAGGTAGGAGAGTATAAAGTTAGGTGGGCAACAGACAAATAACTTCACAAAATACTTAATAGTTTGAGTAGGGCTTGCATTTAGCCATGAAACTTGAGCATTTTTAACAAATACTGCAGCATTAAGGCAGGATACCAGTATCACAATAAAAAGCTTCTTATATTCCCTGCCACCCACCAGTAAAAGACATTAAAAGAGCAAAAAGCACATTGACATAGATATTTTCATCTAAAGATATCATCAGTACACACAGAGATGTGTGAAGTTGTGCCTTACACATACAATTTTTAAAATATAAATATTTAAATTCACATAATTAAACACATAAAATATTTAAATTCAGTATGGTTCAGTATTTTAGATACACTGTATTGCTACAAATATCCAGTTTTGAACAATAGTTATATTGTATCTGTCTTCTATTAGCTTGCAATTATTATAGCAGGTATCTTCCTGCATTGTGTTGTATGCAATCGGTGCCAGCACTCACAACTGAAGATAATTTTAAATGATGGCAGCAGACAGATATAACATAAACCAACTTTCCATTTCAAAGCTGGAAAATCTTTTTTAAAAAGTTATTTGCAAAACACAAAACTTACGGTTAAGCGTTCCTAAACTGAGCTCTTAAACCCCCACTTTTGATCACTCTGAGTCAGCGTAACTGGAATGAGAATTTAACCTCTACAGAGGAATAATAATAAGAGACTTCTCATCTAAAGGGATTCTTCTCTCTCTTTTTTTTTACATCTACTTTTTTCTTTTGTTATCTCCCAAGTTCTAAGTTCTGTTTTGAAACATACTAACTGCATGCTTGTGCTCAGGTTTTCCAAGGCTGCAGTGTAATAAATACATTTGAAGGAATGCATTGGAAAATTTTAAGTAATTCTGCACAGGGATTTCAAGACAGTTTGTGTTTGGTTTTTTTTTTTTTTTTTTTAATTGACTATCAATGGATCTGTATTTCCACATTCCACCTTCTTTCTAGGACTCATGTGTTGAAAAAACATCATAAAATCCACGCAATCATGACGTAAAGCTTCATTTGTATGGGCACCTGCCTTTAGTATCCTCAGCCACAGAAGAAGCAAATGTCCCTGCCTATAGCAAAACAAGGCTATCATTTTCTAACGAAAAGTTGTAATCTCTGAACTGTATGCCATTTCTTTCATTTATTTAAGTATTGCAAAACTGTACCTGTGAGCATGCTTTAAGCACCTGAGTGCTTGTGAATTAACTTTCACACACTTTAGGAACAACCCTACAGCAGCTAGAAACCCTACCTTATTTCTAGATCTGGATTACAGTGACATAAATTACTTTTCTCAGCTAAAAAAAATCAATTTATTTATTACACACCGGCCTGATACTAATACTTCTAATGCCATTAGATAAACTCCAATATCTTATCAGTACATTATAAAATCATAAATAAATATTAACATGCTGTCATTTATTCTGCATGTTTATTTTAAGTCTCTAATGTTTTTCCCACATTAAGATGAAGAAAGCAGAAAATCCAACAAAATAAATAAATACTATGTTCTAAAAAGATCTTACTAGCACACATAAATTAAAAAGTTCATGTTCTGGTATCAAATACAACATGGCTAGGAACGTAGGAGGAACCTCCTTTCCCTTCAAACCTCTCAGAGCTCAGCCCTGGGATCAGCTAGGATCACTTGAGAACAAGGACAGGCTTCCTCACTTGCAAAATGCCTCACACCAGAGGAATGGTGTCCAAGTCTGCAGAGTGCTCAGGACTAAAATCCTGCATGTGAAAACAAAAGTGGAGCAGCTTTCTTTTAATGAGTTAGAGGCAACATCTCATCCCCTGTGACAAATGGGGTCACTTGAAGCAGTGGGAGGGACACAGAGAAGATATGAAGGGACAACACAAAATCTATCAGTATGTTTTATTAGCCAGAGCACTACTTTTTTTCCCCTGAAATTATTTGGCAGCCCAAATATACTTGCCAAATCTTACAGGATGAATAGTACTACTAGTACAATGGTGTAACTCTCCACATTAGCCTGATAAAGCAAATATAACTACTTCAACACGCCTGATGGTCCGTAAACTTCCTTATCATCCTGTTATAAACTTAAGTTCACAGGCTCAGGTTCCTCTTGAGATAAAAGCCGACGTTAAAAGCCACCACATGGTACTGTTCGCTGTTCATTCAGAACACGGCAGTCAGAAGCACACGCTATTCTACCAAAGTCCACAAAGGCTGCACATCTCCTCATGTAGCTTTCCATTCTTCTTTCACAGCAGTGGCCTTCAGACAGCAAAAAGTTTCTTCAGCCTGCATCTCCACGTTAGAGACTACTGCATTTTATGTAAGATGACACTGGTGCTTGTTTGCCCAAATCAGACTGGCTAGCACAGCAGGCACACCCTCCCTCCTGCTGCTGATGCTCGCCACCAGATCCTTCTGCTGTGCCAGGTACTGGAACTGCACTGAGCCCAGCTAGCTGGGGGCTGAACTGATGGCAATTCACCAAACACAAAATCTGTTTAAAAGCATTACCACTGCAGATTAAGATTCCCCGTGATGAAGCCATCACTAGCCTGAATTCTAACTGCTGGAAAAGGAAGACAAAACACCTCCTCCCCTGCTTTTCTTAGAGTACACCAACACGGTGGTGATGACAACTCTCCAGCTAACTTCATACAGCCTGCAAACACCTGATCTTACCTTGCTTCTCTCTAGTCAGGACAGTAAACATTTGCTTAATGCTGATGTGCTGACACAGAACTACAAACTAGTTTTCACAAAAAGCAACACACAAATTAAAATTAAATTAGAAAGCAAGCACAAATTAAAACAGAACCAAGCTCTCACTTTTGAAGGCTGTTGAATTTTAATCTCTTGGGAGTCAGACGCAGAATCTGATTTGGTGCCTCCAGAATTTGGCTTCTCCTTTTTTCTCTTCTGCTTCTTTTTCTTCTTCTTTGCTCCCAAATCCCCTCCAGGAATTCTGCCAGAGATTCAGAGAATGTGCAATGAGAAAAATCAATACCACAGAGTTTAAAATTCAGAGGAAGTTAAATATGGAAAGACCAACATTTTAATATGAAATAAACTAACAGCAGTTTGAATGTGAAGAAAAGGCAGGGGAAAGGAAAGAAGGGGGGAACCAAGAGCATTGATGAAAAACATCCTGCAAGTCCTTTCTAATTTGTTTGATGCTCAGACCCCAGTGCAACCAGGTGCTCTGACACACTTGTGTCAAACTGTGACACTGTATAACAGTCAGCGCTATTCTCCAGGCCATCATCCAACCCAAACAGGAAACCACTGGATTCAGTAGTTTGGAGAAACTCAGGGAAGTGCAGGAAATGAGGAAAGTAACCTTCCTGGAAATTCAGTAACTATTAGTGGCCCAATATTCTTTCCCCTTCATGCTCAACCATCAGGTACATCTGAATTTGAGAAGAATCCAAACAAAACCGTTCCATTTTCAAGGAATTTTGTTTCTGACTTAAGTAGTGATAAAAGTCTTGCTGAAATCTCAGCTAAAGCTCAGTAAGACAAAACAAAACTAACCAAATATTTGTGCTTCAAAACAGCAAATATTTGTGCTTCAAAACAGCAAAAAAAAAAAAAAAGGGGTCAACTTTAATGAAAATAAAAGGCACAACCACAACGTATGCATTGCACTTGCAGATTCTGACAAATTCTGACTATTGATAATGCAACTCCTTTCTTCTAATTTGACAAATAATCAAGATATAGAATCAAGATTAGATTAAAATTTGGAAGTGTGGGAGGTGTTGGCAGCTCTCAGACGAAAGGTAAATAAGGAGGCAATGAGTCAGTTAACACTGAATCCTCGTAAATAAATTAATCTTCCAGCAAAACCTCATGTACATAATGGAGCTCAAGACAGTGAGTTTTGGGGGGCTTGGGTGGATTTCACTGGAAAATTAAAAAGTCAATATAACAATTGTTTATTTTAATTCTGGAGGGAAAGAAAACCAAACAAAACAAATAGGTATGATAATGGCAAATCAAAAGAAAGAGAACTCAAAACATAACTAAAGTTATTAAGATCAACATGTTTGCAAGGGCCACGTTATTCACTGTAATATGCTCACTTTCAAGATTCTGATGCCCACTGTTAGCTTCTATACCTTGTCAGAGATAAAATAGGCAAGAAAACACCAAAATATCCAGTTGGGAGCCCAAAAGCCTGCGATTAATCAAACACAGAACTAAACAAAGACTTATTTTCATGAGATCATTATTGTTCTCCAAAACAGCCTGTAGTGAAAGATGAACCCTGAGAAGCCCTGAAGATTGACAGTTACATTGAGTTACGTTATAGGATCACAGAATGTCTGGGCTGGA